AAGTATCAGTCAACATATACCCAGGTAAGTATCAGTCAACATATACCCTAAAATATGAGTCCCACGTCCGCCAACTGATACCTGGTATCCCCAATCAAGGTCTCATCCTGTCCCGGATCTCTCCGTAATCCCATCAGGATTAGCGAGTAGGTATGATGACCGGAAATGGCTAATCCCAGGTAAACGTCAGGTGAAGATCAGGTGACAAGGAGGTATTACGCTTGCTGCTGCTGCTGCTGCTGCTGCTGCTGCTGATGCTGCTGCTGCTGCTGCTACAGTCCTCTCCTACACCTATTGTGATGGTCCCTTACGGACAGTGTCACCCATAGCCCTCCCCTACACCCGTGGCCCTTCCCTACACCCGTGGCCCTTCCCTACACCCATAGCCCTCCCCTACACCCGTGGCCCTTCCCTACACCCATAGCCCTCCCCTACACCCGTGGCCCTTCCCTACACCCATGGCCCTCCCCTACACCCATAGCCCTCCCCTACACCCGTGGCCCTTCCCTACACCCATAGCCCTCCCCTACACCCATAGCCCTCCCCTACACCCGTGGCCCTTCCCTACACCCATAGCCCTCCCCTACACCCGTGGCCCTTCCCTACACTCATGGCCCTCCCCTACACCCATAGCCCTCCCCTACACCCGTGGCCCTTCCCTACACCCATAGCCCTCCCCTACACCCATAGCCCTCCCCTACACCCGTGGCCCTCCCCTACACCCATAGCCCTCCCCTACACCCGTGGCCCTCCCCTACACCCATAGCCCTCCCCTACACCCGTGGCCCTCCCCTACACCCATAGCCCTCCCCTACACCCGTGGCCCTCCCCTACACCCATAGCCCTCCCCTACACCCATAGCCCTCCCCTACACCTAGCGTTGTTTACACTTTAGCCAACCAGGTTCCCCGAGTGTTGCCTTAAAGAGACTATTGTGTTGTTGAATTCTTCCCTTGTACAGGAATGTGTTGTATTGCTCATTTATACAATCAACTACTGTATTATTCCCAAGTACAGCCACGTACAGAAAAGTACAGCCATGTGTACTTCTCAACTCTCACTGATCAATATTGAACAATAAAAGACTGGGATCCAGAACTTTTACTGAACAATATAGAAGATAATACACACACTAATTAAATTATTTTATGTATTTTTAATCCAAAGGAAGCTTGAATTACAGCCTTTAAACTTGACATCTCACTTGACACCTCGCTTGACACCTCGCGCCTGACACCGGCCTTATAACGTCTTGACACCTGCCTGACACCAGTCTCAAACCAGCTTGACACCGGCTTCAAATGACCCCCCTAACTTGACCCAAGTCAAATAATTTGACCCCCAGTAAATGTTCCGACAGAACAATTTGACCCCCAAGTTAATGTTCCAACAGAACAATTTGACCCCCAAGTTAATGTTCCGACAGAACAATTTGACCCCAAGTTAATGTTCCAACAGAACAATTTGACCCCCAAGTTAATGTTCCAACAGAACAATTTGACCCCCAAGTTAATGTTCCAACAGAACAATTTGACCCCTAATGTTTCAATGTTCATTAATGTTCTGTCAGTTAATGTTCCAACAGAACATTAACTGACAGTGAGGATTAAGTGTCATCATCTTCTCTTTCCCATCACCGCTTTTTTGGTTATAATTTATACAAGTCACCCGATGCTTTTTTTATGACAATTCCTCACCTGTCTTTTGTTTTTATCTATCCCTGACTTTTTTGTGACACCCTCCCCTCTTCCCTTTTTGGGGGGGGGACACTTGTCCTTCCCAACCCCCCCCCCCTCTGTCCCCTTTTCCCCCTCACATTGTCTCTCATCTGATTGACACTCTCCACAACCCCTTTTATATCTCCCTTTTCCATCCTTTTACATACCCCTATTCCCTTGTTTTCTACATTAACCATACCTCCTATTCCTCTCTCTCTCTCTCTCTCTCTCTCTCTCTCTCTCCCACTCAGCTTCCATTCCCCTCTTTCCCTTCCTTTCCTATTTTCTATTTTTTGTATATCTAATTTTCCTTTATTTCTTTCCATTTGTTAATCACTATGTCACGTTTCCGGGAGCCATTTGATACATGGATACATACTGGTATGTGTATGTATACCCATTTCCCTTTCTTTATCAAGCTATTATTTATAGTTATCCGTCTGCCATGTATGTGAAGCCATTATACATTATTACACATTTATAAGGACATATGAATGTAGAGATTTATACATAGTGTCTTATACATATGTATAAAGAGCCTTATACATTGTTAACGTATGTGTGTATAGCCTTACATATTACACATTCTCATGTATAAAAAAACCTTATTCATTACACATTTACAGGGTATATGTAGCCTCATACGTTAACATGTACAAGAAGCTTTATATATGTATGTTCACATATGTATACGTAGTCTTATACATTACACATTAATATGCATGTTGAAGCCTTATATATAAAAAACATGTATAAGGAGCCATGTATACAGGGTGTCTCAGAAAATTATCTGGTTCTTACTTTTTATTAATATTTCATTTATCATTATTCAATGTATTCACATTATATATCATTCATTATCTTCTTTCATACATGCATAAAACGGATAATGCATAATATTTTCTGGTCTCTTTGTCTCCTGGCCCTCTCTCTGTCTGTCTCTCTCTCTGTCTGTCTGTCTGTCTCTCTCTCTCTCCTTCGTAACACTCATTCACCGCTCTAAAAAATTAGACACGACACCTCGGAAACCATTTAGACTAATGCGTCGCACGTCGATTCTGCTCCGTTTTTTTCTGGCGGATCATTCTCTCGTGCTGTCACGCCGATTAGCGGCGCTTAATGCATCAGTCACCTCTCCTCCTCCCAACATCCCGTTTTCTTTACGAATTCTCTCCAATTCCTGTCGTAGATTGTACGTTGTAATTTAAGATTGGGTTGTTATTTAGCTCTGTAAGGCATATCAGCCTCTGGAGGGTTATTATAAGGACTAGTAACCCCCTCTTAATAGCCTTTTGGAGGGTTGTTATAGGGCCTGTTAAGCTCATCTAACCTGTCGAGTCCAGTGCGAAGAAAACGGGAATATTTGTAAGTCGTTAATTTTCTTAATAGGTTGCATTAGTAACGTTGGTGGACAGGTTGACCTATGAACTCTTAAGTAACTCGCCCAGTACAGTTGCTCTCAAGAGTTGGTGAGCGTTGGTGAACATTGGTGAACATTAGTGAACATTAGTGAACATTGGTGAACATTGGTGAACATTGGTGAACATTAGTCAACATTGGTGAGCATTAGTGAACATTGGTGAACATTAGTGAACATTAGTGAACATTGGTGAACATTAGTGAACATTGGTGAACATTATTCAACATTGGTGAACATTAGTCAACATTGGTGAACATTATTCAACATTGGTGAACATTTGTGAACATTAGTGAACATTAGTGAGCATTGGTAAACATTAGTGAACATTAGTGAACATTAGTGAGCATTGGTGAACATTAGTGAACATTGGTGAGCATTAGTGAACATTAGTGAACATTAGTGAACATTGGTGAACATTAGTGAACATTGGTGAACATTAGTGAGCATTAGTGAACAGTGGTGAACATTAGTGAACATTAGTGAACATTGGTGAACATTGGTGACCATTAGTGAACATTAGTGAACAGTGGTGACCATTGGTGAACATTGCAAGACTGTTGCACACACTGGCATACATCACTGCCAGCTTAATCCCAATGATTCCTAAGAAAGTACCTTAGAAACACCTTAAGGTTAAGACAGACGCGAGCAACGAGTAACAGCCATTCAAGAGTTAGACCTCAACCCCCACCCCCAAGTACAACTAGGTGAGTACAACTAGGTGAGTACAACTACGTGAGTACTAAGTGGGCCAATGGTGTCCTTGGGATTAATGGGAATGGTGTCCTTGGGATTAATGGGAATGGTGTCCTTGGGATTAATGGGAATGGTATCCTTGGGATTAATGGGAATGGTGTCCTTGGGATTACAGGCAATGCTGTACCCGGGATTACTGGCGCTCAAACGTTTCCAACGTTCTCAGGGAACAGCGCACAATCACCTCAGCGCTGCAAGGAGTACCACCCTCAGCCTTGGTTCCTTACAGGTGTTCACACAGGGACCCAGACATGTGTGAGAACACCTGAGTGTTGCATGTGTTGTACTCACCTAGTTGTGCTTTGCGGGGATTGAGCTTCGTCTCTTTGGTCCCGCCTCTCAACTGTCAGTCAACTGATATACAGATTCCTGAGCCTACTGGGCTCTATCATATCTACATTTGAAACTGTGTATGGTGTCAGCCTCCACCACATCACTACCTAATGCATTCCATCCGTTAACTACTCTGACACTGAAAAAGTTCTTTCTAACTTCCCTGTGGCTCATTTGCGTACTCAGTTTCCAACTGTGTCCCCTTGTTCGAGTACCACCCGTGTTAAACAGTTTATCTTTATCTACCCCTGTCGATTTCTCTGAGAATTTTGTTGGTAGTGATCATGTCTCCCCTTACTCTTCTGTCTTCCAGGTCGTGAGGTTCAGTTCCAATAATCTTTCCTTGTAGCTCATAGCCCGCAGCTAGTGGACTAGCTTGGCGGCATACCTGTGAAGTCTCCCATACACGCTGGAGCTGCATATTCCAGTATTGGTCTGACATACGTTATATACAAGGTTCTGAATAATTCCTTACACAAGTTTTGAAAAGTAGTTCTTTTGTTCGCCAGCCTTGTCTACGGGGGACGACCTGTATGCAGAGAGAGAGAGAGAGAGAGAGAGAGAGAGAGAGAGAGAGAGAGAGAGAGAGAGAGAGAGAGAGAGAGAGAGAGAGAGAGAGAGAGAGAGAGAGAGGGAGAGGGAGAGAGAGAGAGATCCAAAAGTTGGGTTACGAAATTCCAAAAGTGAATTAAAGAATTTAAAAGTTGAGTTAGACAAAAATGCAAAAATTACATTAAAAGTTTTAAGAGATATGTGGAAATACAGACGCCACCATGGGTGACACAGGTGCCACCATGGGTGACACAGGTGCCACCAAGGGTGACACAGGTGCCACCAAGGGTGGCACAGGTGCCACCAAGGGTGACACAGGTGCCACCATGGGTGACACAGGTGCCACCAAGGGTGACACAGGTGCCACCAAGGGTGACACAGGTGTCACCAAGGGTGACACAGGTGCCACCATGGGTGACACAGGTGCCACCAAGGGTGACACAGGTGCCACCAAGGGTGACACAGGTGTCACCAAGGGTGACACAGGTGTCACCAAGGGTGACACAGGTGCCACCAAGGGTGACACAGGTGCCACCAAGGGTGACACAGGTGCCACCAAGGGTGACACAGGTGTCACCAAGGGTGACACAGGTGCCACCATGGGTGACACAGGTGCCACCTAGGGTGACACAGGTGCCACCATGGGTGACACAGGTGCCATCATGGGTGACACAGGTGCCACCAAGGGTGACACAGGTGCCACCAAGGGTGACACAGACGCTGTTTTATGCTGTGATGATCAGCACGGTACTGTGCTGTGCGGGCACAGTACCCAGCCCGCACAGTGCCCAACCCGCACAGTGCCCAACCCACACAGTACCCAACCCGCACAGTACCCAACCCGCACAGTGCCCAGCCTGCACAGTGCCCAACCCGCACAGTACCCAACCCGCACAGTGCCCAACCCGCACAGTACCCAACCCGCACAGTGCCCAACCCGCACAATACCCAACCCGCACAGTACCCAACCAACACAGTGCCCAACCAGCACAGTACCCAACCAGCACAGTGCCCAACCAGCACAGTGCCCAACCCACACAGTACCCAACCAGCACAGTGCCCAACCCACACAGTACCCAACCAGCACAGTGCCAACCCACACAGTACCCAACCAGCACAGTGCCCAACCCACACAGTACCCAACCCACACAGTACCCAACCAGCACAGTGCCCAACCCACACAGTACCCAACCAGCACAGTGCCCAACCCACACAGTACCCAACCAGCACAGTGCCCAACCCACACAGTACCCAACCAGCACAGTGCCCAACCCACACAGTACCCAACTAGCACAGTGCCCAACCCACACAGTACCCAACCAGCACAGTGCCCAACCAGCACAGTGCCCAACCCGCACAGTACACAGGATCCTCTCCATTTGACAACGAAAAAAGAGATATTACACAAACACAAGCAATTACTCACTGCTGGCCGGCGCCCCTGAAGACCTCCTGCTCCCCGCCCCTCACCCATCTTATTTCTCTATAATATTCCCCCTCTCCCCTCCTCCTTGCCCTCCTTCCCCCCCCCCCTTCCTTCCCATACCCCGCCCTCCCCCCTCGCCCCCCCCCACACCAAACCACCCCTCGGCCGCTACACCGGGTGAAACAGTAAGCACAATGCCAGATGCGTAATTTTCTTTGCTCCAGCGGAGTTGAATGCTGCGGGCAGCCCACTTGAGGGGGCCGCGGACCCATAGGGATTGCGCATGGGGCCGGAGTGAGAGGGGGGGAGGGAGGGCAGATGGGGCCTGGGAGGGGGGAGGGAGGGGAGATGGGGCCTGTGGGGAGGGGAGATAGGGAGCCAAGGGGAGAGGGGACTAGGGGAGAGGAGGTGAGGAGATGGAGAGGGTGGCGATAGGAAAAAATATATAATAAAGGGAGGCGTAGGAGAGCCAAGGAGCAAGGGGAAGGGGAGTCAACACAAGGCAAGGGGAGAGAGGAACGAGAGGGGAGAGAAGAACGAGAGGGGAGAGAAGAACGAGAGGGGAGAGAGGAACGAGAGGGGAGAGACGCGATGCAAGAAGATATGAAGAACGTGTGGAGGAAGTGAGGAGATGGAGAGCGTCGGCTGTGTGAAGGGAAGTCTGCAAGATGATTCTTCTCTTGCGAAGTGTGCATTGTTGCAGTAAGTGTATGTCCCTAGGGGAAGTGCATGTCCCTAGGCACGGAGAAGTGCCTCGGGGGGATGGGGGTAGTGTCTCCAGGGAACCCTGCAACACCATGCAACAAAGAATTGAGAAGAAAGGTCTTTATCTTCCCCATTTGGAAAATGAGCGGTAGTTGCTTTACGGGTCTCTGTATCAAGCTGCTCTCTCTCTCTCTCTCTCTCTCTCTCTCTCTCTCTCTCTCTCTCTCTCTCTCTCTCTCTCTCTCTCTCTCTCTCTCTCTCTCTCTCTCTCTCGTTCATGAACATAAAGATATACAATAACGACTTTCCGTAATCGGACAAAACTCATTTCCGAAACCGGCCACATTATTTTTTTTATTAATACATTAGGTACATCTGCATTTGTGCAGCTACCCTAGGCTATATGAAGAGGAGTACAGTGTTAAAAAGCTAGCTACGTGATGCTAAAAAAATCCCCATCACACAGGATGGTTAGTCATACAGAGGCATGTGATAAGTAGTCTGCACTGACAGACTCTGGCTGCATTATGAGGATATCATCAACACAAGAGTGAATAAGGTAACAGTGATACTAAAAGTCCCCATCTCGCAGGGTGGTTAGTCATACAGGGCCATATGTTCAGTAACCTGCACTGGCAAATTTTGCGTGCAATATGAGGATATCTTCAAGAACACGAGAGTGAATAAAGTAATTGCAAAGCTCCAGGTACCTCATGCCAACTGGTCTGAAAGGTCTAATAACTGGGCATTCGGTGATGTAGTGTAGGAGATCATACCGCAGTTCCTGCTTACAGAGTTTGCACCTGGAGTGCTCAGGATTGGGGGATCCGTCACCTGCAGCAACCTGCCACAGGTAACGGTAACCCAACCTGACACTGGCAACCACTGTGTCGAACAGTCTGGTAGACGTTTTGTGCTGCCCATAGATATAGGTTTCAGATCTGAACAAATCATAGCATTTTATACTGGTGCTTTCAGGTCGTTGAGAGTCAATAATTTCTTTGCTATCAGACCTGAGTGTTTGGACCAATACAGTTTTGACAGCAGAGATGGGGATACCTAGATCTAATTCAACTTCATCTTTGCTACACCCTAATTTGGCTGCAATGTCTGTCTCATTATGATGGGTTATGTTTATGTGTGAAGGTATCCATACAAAGGAGATTCGAGACCCTTTACTCTGTGCAGCGATTAGGTCATTTATAATTGGTAGTATGAGGTTCTTGCTGTCGATCTTCCAGGAGAAGTTTTCGATTGCTTGAAGAGTAGACTTTGAATCACAAAATACTATTCCTCCTCCAATGTTTGTTAATGTACTGGTAGTTAGTTGTAATGCTGCTAGTTAACCCTGACTCTGACAGTCTTTGTGCAAATATTGTTTCTATAAAACCTACATGCTGCTGCAGTCCGTCCAGTAGAGGATTGGACTGAGCCGTCGGTGTAGACACAATGCTCATGAGATCTTAAATTCTCGATGGAGGAGGCAATTGTTTCGAGTGTGACAGCTTTGAGAAGAGCAAGATTCTCATTACCTTTCTTGCTGACAGGTGTGTGTATGAAACTTGAATGGTGGGGCCGCAACAACAGGTGTGGAGCTGAACCCCAACACCAGGTGCAGAACTGGATCCTACTGGTGGGGCTCAGATAAAGAGGAATATCAGAGACAACATACCAACTCACTCCTTTTTCTGAAAAATGGCTGATCAAAAATGCCTACAATCTCATCAAACTCAACACTCCTTTTAATGCTACGACACACACCACCATCCCAACACACACCACCATCCCTGCACACACCACCATCCCTGCACACACCACCATCCCTGCACACACCACCATCCCAACACACACCACCATCCCTGCACACACCACATCCCAGCACACACCACCATCCCTGCACACACCACATCCCAGCACACACCACCATCCCTGCACACACCACATCCCAGCACACACCACCATCCCTGCACACACCACCATCCCAACACACACCACCATCCCTGCACACACCACCATCCCTGCACACACCACCATCCCTGCACACACCACCATCCCTGCACACACCACCATCCCTGCACACACCACATCCCAGCACACACCACCATCCCTGCACACACCACATCCCTGCACACACCACCATCCCTGCACACACCACCATCCCTGCACACACCACCATCCCAGCACACACCATACCACCCACGTCCCATCCCACAGGCCAAAAAAGGAATCACATAATCCCAAAACTCGTCAAACCATGACACAACCGAACCCCCCCACGCCCCCCAAACATCAAAGATGGCTTACGGAGAGGGGAGGGGGGTCGCTGACCCCAGGACGAGGGGGTCGCTGACCCCAGGGCGAGGGGGGGAGGGGGGGTTCACAGCAGCCGCCTACTCAAAGGTATTTGCTAATGACGATACCGCTATTCCTTTGTGGAAAACTGATGCATTTATGAATTATTATGAAAGTGGAAAGGAGGATAAAGAGGAAGGGAAGGAGGGATGGAATGGGGTTCAGAATGATGAAGACAGTGATAGAGTGGTGAAGATAGTGAGTAGTGAGGATGTCAGGTGAGGGGAGAGGAAAGGATACGGAGAAGGGTGAGGGGAGAGAGGGATTAGGGGGATCATGAGAGGGAGAGGAGGTATGAAATGGGGGAATAAGAGTGGGAGGGGAAACAGGGGGTGCTTGAGGGAGGAATGAAAGCTTGTTTCCGGAGAGGCTGTAGATTTCTTCGAACTCCTCCGACGCCGGGCAGGAACCGAGGCCGCAGCGGGCATTGCCCCTCTGGATCGCGACACTGAGGCGCTGGAATAGAAAACTTACCGCTCTAGGGTCTCTTGTAGCTTCAATGAGCCTGGAACTAAGATCCTTAAGAAACCTTCTTGCACTCTCTCCCCGTGGATCTAAAGGTCTCAGATCCTATTGGAACGAAGTTATACCGGTGACCCTGTACTTGGTTGACTTGTCTCTTTCTCTGTGTCGCTGCGGCCTCGTGATTGACTGACAGAGAGGTCGATGTATGTGGTTGCCAGGGTGGATTCACAAGTATAGTCCCACGCCAGCTGTCTGCCACCGTTCCAAGGGCGTAGTGTGATTCCATCTGGTCCGGCAAAGATAACAGAGTTACGGTTCAATAGATTGTGGGCTCTCTGTCTCCTGGACACTAGGCAGAGGCAAGGCTCCTTTTAATGGTGTCATTGACTTCATCGTGTGTATTATATATATATATATATATATATATATATATATATATATATATATATATATATATATATATATATATATATATATATATGTGTGTCGTACCTAATAGCCAGAACGCACTTCTCAGCCTACTATGCAAGGCCCGATTTGCCTAATAAGCCAAGTTTTTATGAATTAATTGTTTTTCGACTACCTAACCTACCTAACCTAACCTAACCTAACTTTTTCGGCTACCTAACCTAACCTAACCTATAAAGATAGGTTAGGTTAGGTTAGGTAGGGTTG